AAAAAAAAAAAAAAAAAAAAAAAAAAAAAAGAATAGCTTGTCATCCTGGCCATCTCACATCATTATCTAGCTTCTTAGAAATCAGCTAATGACATTAATTAAAAAATAACAACTTTGACTGTCCTGCTCTAATAATCTGATGTTGTAACCAAGTTAGAAAATGAGGGACTTCCCTGGCGGTCCAGTGCTTAAGGCTCCGTGCTCCCAATGCAGGGGTGCAGGTTCCATCCCTGGTTGAGGACTAAGATCCCACATACTGTGCAGCACGGTTGGAATAACTAACTAAATTGGCTTTAAAAAGAAAGGAAGAAAGAAAATGGTACTTTATCGGTACAGTGATGTTAATGTTAAAAGGACTAAGAAGTACCAACTGGAATAGAAGGAAGGTGGTTATGCTTTTTATAATAAAAATATTACTAAGTAAAGAAGAAAAGCTATTTTAATTCTATGCATATATAAGCATTATGTGATCTTATGATTAATTATTTTTCCCTTTCCTTCTGCTTTTTCTTAGATGTTCTTGGCAGCCCTGTCACTCAGCTTTATTTCTAAGACACTAAGTGCAATCATTATGAAAGGTTCCATCACTCAAATAGAAAGGAGATTTGACATATCATCTTCTACTGTTGGCTTAATTGATGGAAGCTTTGAAATGGGTAATTTTTGTTTCTGTTTTGATTATTACTTAGTAATGAGATTTGCAGAGGTAAAAAAGTGTTCACATACGCTCTACACCACTGATCCTTAACCAGGGGTAAATTGCCCCCATCCCCACCCCCTGCCCAGGGGCAACTTGGCAATATCTGGAGATATTTTTGGTTGTCATTGCTGAGGATTAGGGAATGCCACTGGCATCTAGTGGTAGAGGCCAGGGATGCCTTGAAACATCCCACAATGCACAAGACAGCCTCCAAAACAAAGAAGTACCTAGTCCAGAATGTCAAAAGTATAGAGGTTAGAAAACCCTGATTTACACAAACTCATTGCCTGCAAACTAATATTTTGCGGGGCTAAAACGTCTCTTTCTCAAGATGCCCTAGTGCAAAACAAAGCTGTAGAGAGGATTATGATTCTGATGATTTGAGGAGAGGAGAACAATTTTGAAGCAATCTTTGTTAGGGTCTACTGTTGAACTGGGTATAAAATTTGGGGTTAAAAGTCTTTTTTTTTTTTTTAGAACATTGAGTATATTGTTTTGTTGTCTTCATTTTAATTTGGATTTCTCCAATAATAGTGAGGTTTTATATAATTATTTAACATCCTTTTCTCTGACTTTATGAACTGGTCACTGATTACCTCTGCCCATTTTCCTTTCCCCCCCCCTTTTAATGATTTGAAGGGATTCAACAATTATGTCTGTTGTATAGATTACACATATTTTTTACAAGTTTGCTCTTCATCTTTTAACCTTTTAAAAATATACTTGTTTACTGAATGTTTAAAAAATAATTGTGTAAAGGAAGACCCGTCTATCTTTTGGTCATGAATCTGCCTTTTCATGATTCAGAGGCTATTACACCATACATATCCTTCACTTTTCCACCTTCTAGGTTTAATGAAACCATCTAGAACTTTAGTATTAGACTGTGATTAGTTTTAAATTCTAATTCATTGTATATCTCTTTATATTGAGGAATTGATTCTTATTATCTTTGTTAAACTTTGTAGCTATTTAAAAGCAATTATTTGGACATGGTTATAAGTTTTACTGGTTTCCTTCTTAACACTATTTCTTGAACCTTATGACTTCAAGTCTCATCTTTAGTTTTTCTGGAGTATATCTTCAAGTAGCTTTTTTTTTCCAGAAATAATTGAACATAAGACATATTTTCTGAGCCCTTGCATGTTGGAAAATGTATTTATTTTACTATCATAGTCAACTGATAATTTGAGTATGAAATTAAAACTTCAGAATCTTTTTTTCTCAGAACATTAAAAGCATGTATCAACTGTGTTATAACACAATATTATACATAAGAAATCATTACCAGTATCATTGTCATGCACTGATAGGACCTCTTCTTTATGCCTGAATTTCAGAAATTTTACCAACATATACCTAGGATGGTCTCTTTTACATTATTTATGCTGGAGAAATGTAGAAATTTTTATCTGATGTCTTAAGCCTTCCTTTACCTCAGGAAATTTATTTTCTATATTTAAATTTGTTCCTTCCCCTCTATTTTCTTCTGAAACATATATGAATATTAAATTTTCTGGCTATTTTTTCACGTTAAGTTTTTCTTTCTAAAATTCGACCTTTTTTTTTCCTTGAAACTCCATCAGTCTTTGCTGATGCCATCTTTCATCTTATTGTATCAGGTCCCAATATGTACATTTCTGTAGAGTATTTAAAATTTTCAACAATACTTTATTGTTCTCTTATTATTTTTAGTCTGCTAGTTCTTATTTTATGGATGCAACATACCTTTGTACCTCTAGAGATACTAACTGGATTTTTTCAAAATGTCTTCTCTTCTTAGTTTCCTCATTTAACTGTTTTCTTCATGGGTTACTTTATCTGCTGGTTCAGTTTGGTACTTTTACTTCATGTTATTTTTTTCCATCAAATGTTCAGTAATTCTTGGTTGTTTGTCTGTTCGTCATTATACTTGTAGCTCCAGATGGACTGGAATTGGTCATGACCCCCACCACTTAGATTGGTCTTTTTCCTCTTTTGAATCTAAATAACTTATAGCTAACATTAACTCTCAAGTGACCTCTCCTCCAGGAAACTTTCCTGAAACCTCTAATTAGTTTAAGCTTCCCCTTTCTGTGGTCTAAGAGTACTTCTGTCCATTTATCTATTTTTGTCACTGGTAGGTAAGTTCTTTTAGAGCAGATACCATGCACTGTTTATTCTTTTCCTCTATTTCTGGCTTCTAACCCCATGACAGGTACTTAATAAGAATTTAAAGATTTCTAGGAGTGAATAAAAAATGCATGAATAAATACCTTCCCTCAGGTATTTTTGTCCATTTTTCTCCATTCCAGTACAATCCACTCAACTCCAAATTCTTCATAAAATTTTGCTTCACTAATATCACCAAGTAATTCAAGTACTTTAGTTCTTATCTAAAGTCAATTCTGCTTATTATTAACACCACACAACTTTATAGTGAGTGGCTTAAGGTAAGTGAGTTTCATCCCGGGTAATTAAATTACCCGGGGACTTCCCCAGTGGTGCAGTGGTTAAGAATCCACCTGCCAATGCAGGGTACACGGGTTCGATCCCTGGTCTGGGAAGATCCCACGTGCCACAGAGCAACTAAGCCCATGAGCCAAAACTACTGAGCCCACGTGCCACAAGTACTGATCTCACGTGCCGCAACTACAGAGCTCATGTACTGCAACTACTGAAGCCCGCGTGCCTAGAGCCCATGCTCCACAACAAGAGAAGCCACCACAGCGAGAAGGCATCACAACAGAGTAGCCCCAGCTCGCCGCAACTAGAGAAAGCCCGCGCACAGCAACGAAGACCCAACACAGCCAAAATAAATAAATAAGTAAATAATAAATGAATGAATGAATAAATAAATAAAGGCAGAGTCTATTTAAAAAAAAAATTACCTGATCTTTGAGGAATGGTACCATGTCTTATGCTCTATTTTTATCCATTCTGTGGCCTTCCATTCTACTGGACACAAAATTGGACTCAGCCACTGTTTGCTATAATCAATCATATCAAAATAATTTTGTTTTCTTTCTAGGAAATTTGCTTGTGATTTTATTTGTGAGTTACTTTGGAGCCAAATTACACAGACCAAAACTAATCGGAATTGGTTGCTTCGTTATGGGAATTGGAAGTATTTTGACTGCTTTACCTCATTTCTTCATGGGATAGTAAGTGGCTCTATGCCATCAATGATCATTTCCTTGTAAATTAATGGTAGAGTTTTATTTTTTTCCTTTTAAATAAGCAGTCCCCTTTTGAGAAGAATATCCACCAAGTGTGTGTAGAAATGGAGTATATTTTCTATGTAATAATTAAATTGTTTTATCTACCATGACTCTCATTGATATTAAAATATGAATAGCAATAAATGAGTAGTTTCACAGAAAATAAATAAGCTTTTTAGTATGATATGTATTTCATGTCTTTGCCTACAAGATTTTGATAATATTTAATAAGTCTTTGTTACCAAACTCAGGTCCAGCTGGTCACCATTCGAAAATCAATACCTGAGAGGCAATTGTTGGTAGAAAGGCAAGTTGCTTTTAATCAGAATGCCAACAATCTAGGGAGAAGGTGGACTCATGTCCCCCCAAACCAACTCCCATGATTCTGTTTGGCTATAAAAGTTTTTAAAGGGAAAAGGGAAGTAATGTCAGTTAATCATTGAGATAGAGGGTCAAAGTCATCACCATCCCCCACTGTGTGCAGGCTTGTTGGTTTCTTGTGATTTTTCTTTAGATGCTATCTTGTTCACATAGTTTGTTCATGAGATTACTGAAGGGAAAGCTAGGGAAGAGATCTGGTCATCTGTTAATTACTCATTCTTCATTTCTACTTCTTTGATCTACAGAAAGAACCAACAGGTTAGGCAAGGTACCATGTGATCAAAAGATTTGAAAGGTGTACTTGGGTTGGTGATGAGTAGAGTATGGGGCGCCTGATTTAAATGTTAGTTACAATGTAGTTTTGCTAAAGTGACAGGACAAAGGGGCCTCCTGCAGAACCTCTTTCCTGCCAAAAGCTGCTTACAACTTCTCCACTCAACTCACTGCGGTATGGGTTTTCCCACTACCATCTCCACTGAGACTTCTTCCTAAGTCATTGTGTAGTTTTAATTAGAGTCAGATACTAATGACAGGAAACCAAAAATAGTGATGGCTTAAATAAGATAAGAGCTTATTTTTTACATAAAAAAATTGTAGCCAACCCAGCCCTTGACTGGCCTTGACTTCATGGTCTAAATTTTGACAGTGTTGTTCCTTGCAACAGGATAGAAGGGAAGAAGAATAAGAAGAAACAGAATGCACACAGGCTGAGACTTAAGAAATATTTTCAGAAGCATAACCCTTCTACCAACTTCACATTAGCCAGAACTTTGTTACACCTCACATTCAGATAGAAAGTCATTGGGAAAAATAGACTTTACTTCAGATGTCCCCTTCCCAGCTAAAGATCCCAGGTTCTGTTACCATAGAAGGAAAGAAGAATGGATATTGAGAGCCAATGAGCAGTTTCTGCTAAAGATATCAATTACTTACTCATTATCAACACCAACAGCCATGCCTTTTGGTTACTATATTAATTACTCTACTTGACCCTCATAAGGTCTTTCTTCTTCCTGGTGCTGTTCCTTCTTATTTTCATCATCTTACTCTCTCTTGATTTATTTCCTCCTTTTGGCTTCTCCATCATGCCCATCTTTTCCTTCTGCTACTGACACCATAAGGTCAGTATTGCCTAAGCTCCCTCTTCAATCTTCTTCACTTTCCATTCTACATGATTTGTGTGGAGTACATGCATTAAATGCAACTATCACTGTACACAGTGAGTTTATCTTATATTCAAGATCTATATAACCAACCACCTCATGGGTATCTCCAACCTAACATCCTACAAACATTTTGCATCCATATATTCAGAACAGAATTCATCCCTGTGCCATCACCAGCTCAGATTTTTCACATTCACTCTTTCAGCAATGATTCATTTAGCCACAGAGGAACTCAAGGGTCTCATCCTAGACTTATTCTTTACTTCAATACACATGACCAGTGGTCACCAAATCTTGCTTATTCTGCCTGCTATCTGTCATAGTTGTTGCCCTTAACCTGATAGAGGATTCTATCATCTCTGGCCTTGAATTTTTGCCTCCCAACTCCACTTCATTCTAACTCATATTCTATACTACAGTATTGATTTAAAAAATAAGAATCTAATTATTTTACTACCACTTAAAACTCCCAATATCCTAGAGCAGTATTTTTCTTTATTTTTGATATTTATTTATTTTGGCTGCACCAGGTCTTACTTGCGGCATGTGGACTTCTTACCTGCAGCATGCAGGATCTAGTTCCCCAACCAGGGATTAAACCCAGGCCACCTGCCCTGGGAGCTCAGAATCTGACCCACTGGACCACCAGGGAAGTCCCGTATCCTAGAGCAGGATTTTTCAAACTTCAGATCCTGAACCACTCATGGACCAATAAATCAATTAAGATTATTAAGACCAACATTTTTTAATAGGATAGGATAGGATAGAATAGAATAGAAGAAAACACAATGAGAGTGGGGATAAATATTATTCTGTGAAACTTTTGTTTTGGTTGTACATAAATTTGTGTGTGTGTGTATATCCATGTATTGTGACTGTGATGCAAAATATATTTCTCATTGTTAGTAACAGTCAAAGTATTGAAAGCCTTTTGCCTATGAATTACTATCTAGGTTCATTTGCATATCTAAGCTTATTTGCATATACAGGTCACTTACTGATTTGGTCCTTGACTATCTTCCTAGCTTCATTTTACACTGCTTTCCATGACTGAGGACCACACTCTAGGCCTACAGTTTGCCAAATGTGCCATAATATGTCATAGCTTTGTTCATAGTGTTTCTACAGCTTTGAATGATTTTCTTTGTCTGTCTATTAAACTCCTATCCATCTTCAAGACACATCTCATATGGAATCCTCACTGTGAAGTCTTCTCTAATCCACACCTTTCCAAACCTGCAAGCCAAGCTGATAATCCCTTTTTCCTTTACGAAAACTCAGGACCTGGTATATTAACCTTATCATATCTTTCATTGTATATGTTTACCTTAGGGGGTGTAAGATGTTTTAAGTAAAAAAACCGTGTGTTTTATTTCTAGTGATTTGGAGCTGAGCATAATGCCTGGCATAGAGTAAGTTGCCCTCAGACTTCACAGGGTACCTCAGTATTTTTAATTTATATATTTTATTGAAGTATAATGGACAAATTATATTAGTATCAGGTGTACAACATAGTGATTCATTATTTTTATAGATTATACTCCATTTATAGTTATAAAATTTTGGCTATATTCCCTGTGCTGTACATCTTTGTATCTTATTTCTTTTTTTAACATATTTATTGGAATATAATTGCTTTACAATGGGATGTTAGTTTCTGCTTTATAACAAAGTGAAGCAGCTATACATATACATGTATCCCCATATCTCCTGTCTCTTGCGTTTCCCTCTCACCCTCCCTATCCCACTCCACTAGGTGGTCACAAAGCACCGAGCTGATCTCCCTGTGCTATGCGGCTGCTTCCCACTAGCTATCTATTTTACATTTGGTAGGGTATATATGTCCATGCCACTCTCTCACTTCGTCCCAGCTTACCCTTCCCCCTCCCCATATCCTCAAGTCCATTCTTTATGTCTGTGTCTTTATTCCTGTCCTGCCCCTAGGTTCTTCAGAACCTTTTTTTTAGATTCCAAATATATGTGTTAACATATAGTATTTGTTTTTCTCTTTCTGACTTACTTCACTCTGTGTGACAGACTCTAGGTCCATCCACCTCACTACAAATAACTCAATTTTGTTTCTTTTTATGGCTGAGTAGTATTCCATTGTATATATGTGCCACATCTTCTTTATCCATTCATCTGTTGATGGACACATAGGTTGCATCCATATCCTGATTATTGTAAATAGAGCTGCAGTGAACATTTTGGTATATGACTCTTTTTCAGTTATGGTTTTCTCAGGGTATATGCCCAGTAGTGGGATTGCTGGGTCATATGGTAGTTCTATTTTTAGTTTTTTAAGGAACCTCCATACTGTTCTCCATAGTGGCTATATCAATTTACATTCCCACCAACAGTGCAAGAGGGTTCCCTTTTCTCTATACCCTCTCCAACATTTATTGTTGGTAGATTTTTTGATGATGGCCATTCTGACTGGAGTGAGGTGATACCTCATTGTAGTTTTGATTTGCATTTCTCTAATGATTAGTGATGTTGAGCATTCTTTCATGTGTTTGTTGGCATTCCGTATATCTTATTTGGAGAAATGTCCATTTAGGTCTCAGCCCATTTCTGGATTCGGTTGCTTTTTTCACATTGAGTTGCATGAGCTGCTTGTAAATTTTGAAGATTAATCCTTTGTCAGTTGCTTCATTTGCAAATATTTTCTCCCATTCTGAGGGTTATCTTTTCGTCTTGTTTATAGTTTCCTTTGCTGTGCTAAAGCTTTTAAGTTTCATTAGGTCCGATTTGCTTATTTTTGTTTTTATTTCCATTTCTCTAGGAGGTGGGTCCAAAAGGATCTTGCTGTGATTTATGCCCTAGGGTGTTCTGCCTATGTTTTCCTCTAAGAGTTTTATAGTGTCTGGCCTTACATTTAGGTGTGTAATCCATTTTGAGTTTATTTTTGTGTATGGTGTTAGGGAGTGTTCTAATTTCATTCTTTTCCAGGTAGCTGTCCAGTTATCTCAGCATCACTTATTGAAAAGGCTGTCTTTTCTCCATTGTATATTCTTGCCTCCTTCATCAAAAATAAGGTGACCATATGTGCATGGGTTTATCTCTGGGCTCTCTATCCTGTTCCTTTGATCTATATTTCTGTTTTTGTGCCAGTACCATACTGTCTTGATTACTGTAGTTTGTAGTATAGGAGCCTGATTCCTCCAGCTCCCTTTTTCTTTCTCAAGATTGCTTTGGCTATTTGGTGTCTTTTGCGTTTCCATACAAATTGTGAATTTTTTTATTCTAGTTCTGTGAAAAATGCCATTGGTAATTTGATTAGGATTGCATTGAATCTGTAGATTACTTTGGTAGTATAGTCATTTTCACAGTGTTGATTCTTCCAGTCTAAGAACATAGTATATCTCTCTATCTGTATCACCTTTAATTTCTTTCATCAGTGTCTTATAGTTTTCTGCATGCACATCTTTTGTCTCCTTAGGTAGATTTATTCCTAGGTATTTTATTCTTTTTGTTGCAATGGTAAATGGGAGTGTTTCCTTAATTTCTCTTTCTGATTTTTCATCATTAGTGTATAGGAATGCAAGAGATTTCTGTGCATTAATTTTGTACCCTGCAACTTTACCAGATTCATTGATTAGCTCTAGTAGTTTTCTGGTAGCACCTTTAGGATTCTCTATGTTTAGTATCATGCATCTGCAAACAGTGACAGCTTTACTTCTTCTTTTCTGATTTGGATTCCTTTTATTTCTTTTTCTTCTCTAATGGCTGTGGCTAAAACTGTGCTCTCTTCCATGGCTCCGAAGCTTCCCTCCCACCCTCCGTCTCTGCCAGTGAAGGGGCTTCCTAGTGTGTGGAAACTTTTCCTCCTTCACAGCTCTTTCCCAGAGGTGCATGTCCTGTCCTTATTATTTTGTCTCTGTTTTTTCTTTTTTATTTTGCCCTACCCAGGTACGTGGGGAGTTTCTTGCCTTTTGGGAAGTCTGAGGTCTTCTGCCAGTGTTCAGTAGGTGTTCTGTAGGAGTTGTTCCACATGTAGTTGTTTTTCTGATGTATCTGTAGGGACGAAGGTGATCTCCGCGTCTTACTCCTCCACCATCTTGAAGGTCTCCTTCCTTATTTTATACCTAGTAGTTTGTACCTCTTAACCGCCCTTACCCTATATTCCCCCCTTCCCCCACTCCTCTTCTCACCGGTAACCACTAGTTTGTTCTCTGTACCTGTGAGTCTGTTTCTGTTTTGTTATATTTGTTCTTTTTTTTTTTTTAGATTCCACATGTAAGTGAAAATATACAGTATTTGTCTTTCTCTGCCTGACTTATTTTACTAAGCTTAATACGTTTCGGTCCATTCATGTATTTTTAAATATCAGCATTTGTCCCTATTCTAGGTCCATTCTATTGTTCCTATTAGTGCTTCCTTATCAAATTGAAATGGATTAGAACTTTTTAAACTAAGTTTTGAAGAGTCAGGCATATGACTGTGTGTGATTATAAATTGATTTTGAAATTTTAGATTGTAACCGTCTTTGAAGATAATTCAAAAGATTGATAAATACAGTCAGCAGTTTTTTAAAAGCATGAAACCAAGATATTTCATATGTTGCCTAGAATATAAGCACTGCTAGGATGAGAGCAACATGGTACTCCACCTTGCCTGGGGAGTACTGCATTATATTTCTTAGTGAACACTCCCATTTCACTGTTACCCATCACCACTCCTAAAATATAAGCTGGGAAACTGACAGAGTATCCTGATAATTTGGAGAAGAGAATGGTGCAAATAAAGGGGAAGATTCCTCTGTATTTCTGGGAAAAGTGAAAATGCTCAGTAAATATAGTGATGTTCTTACAGTTACAGGTTTTCTAAAGACACCCCTATTAATCCATCAGAGAATTCAACATCAAGCTTATCAACTTGTTTGATTAATCAAAATTTGTTACTCAATAGAACATCACTGGATATAGTGGGCAAAGGTAAGAATTGAACTGGCACTAGTGAATATTAGTGTCATTAATAAATATTCTAAAATTTAACAATTTAATTACATCGTTAAAAAACGATTGTGGGGGCTTCCCTGGTGGCGCAGTGGTTGAGAGTCCGCCTGCCGATGCAGGGGACACGGGTTCGTGCCCTGGTCCAGGAGGATCCCACATGCCGCCGAGCGGCTGGCCCGTGAGCCATGGCCGCTGAGCCTGCGCATCCGGAGCCTGTGCTCCGCAACGGGAGAGGCCACAACAGTGAGAGGCCCGTGTACCACAAAAAAAAAAAGATTGTGATATCCATTAGCAAATTGATTTAAAAGACAAATAGGAAAAACATTTGCATCTTATATATGTAAGACAAAAATCATAGTGTTAATATATATAAAGACCTTCTAGAAGTAATAAGAGGAATATTTTGATATGAAATTGGCAAAGAATATATGCAATTAATATAAAGAGGAGGAAGTGGTATAAATATGTTAAAACAATTTTACTGTTTAAGAAAAATTCAAATTCTTACACCAATTCAAGATTTTTTACCTATTATAACACAAATCATAAGTTTTAATTATAAATTATAGTACTAGTTAAAGATTTTCCTACCTACTAGATAGGAAAGATTAAAAATAAAAAGAAATGAGGTAGAGGATAAAGACACATTTTATGTATTACGGGGAGTGTATAAATTTCTCTTTTGGAGGTTAATTTTCAATATGGTAAAGAACAAAAGTATGCACAACTGCTTAAATCAGCAATTCTACTTTTATTGCTTTATCTTAAGGAAATAATCAGGAATGTGCAGAAGGATTTATTTATCATTATAGCCATGGCATCCCTGTTTAACAGAATGAAAAATTAGAAATATTGTGTGAGTACATAGAAAAAATTGATTAAATAAATGATGAAACTTATTCAGCACACTGTTATGCAGTCATTAAAATCCTGACATGAGAAGATAAAGAGTGTTATGCATATTTTTATGTTCACTAAAAATGTGAAAGATATAAACAAACATTAGAAGCGGTACTCTGTGTGTGGAGGGATGGCAGATAATTTTTACTTGTTTTCTTTGTGCTTTTCTGTATTGTCAAATTTTGTAACGTGACTATAAATCATTTTATAATTAGAAAAAAAGTAAAAAAATTCTTAAATGGAATAATTAAATGGTTAAGTTAGTTGACTTTTCAAAAGGAATGCTAAAATTAATGTTTAAGATAAAACACTCTCTTGTCTACATAGGTTGGGAAAAGGAATCTGGGTCACATATGTGGATATATATTCTATTGGGTAATATGCTTCGTGGAATTGGGGAAACGCCCATAACACCCTTGGGGATTTCTTACATCGATGATTTTGCTAAAGAAGGACATTCTTCTTTTTATTTAGGTAATGTACAGAAAATATTAGATTTCATGGTTACTTTCCCTGGGTGTACCTTGAAAGAACAGTGCTCCTAAACTCATTCTTTTACTTTAAAAATTACTTAGAGAAATATATTGTATTGTATTACTTTAAAAAATTGAATAAGAACCATGTATTATTGGCATTTGATAAAAATGTTTTGTAATATTTTCAGGTAATTTGTTTGCAGTAACAATGATTGGTCCAATCATTGGCTTTTTACTCGTATCTCTGTTTTCTAAAATGTATGTGGATGTTGGATACATAGATCTGAGTAAGTACAATCAGAACAAGGTAACATGATAATGCTTTTCAAGTACATGACACCATTCTTTCAAATAACTGAATTCACTCTTTCAGTGGCCCTTTGCTGACTAATTGTCAAAAGTTACAAATAGGTAATGTGTTAATAACTAGAATAAAAATAAACTTCAGCTCCTATCTACATCAGGCTTTTACAACTAAGCACAAAATAAGAAAATTTAACAAACTTAAGATTACTTCACCCCAAATAATTGCAGGTCTCTCAATGTGCCTACTAATGTCACTTCCCCACATTTACCCTCTCTCCTGTCTCGATTTGCATAGTTCTTAAAGTCTTTTCCAATATGTGGCTCCTCTTCAGAGATGCCTTACTTCACCACCTCCTACTGGCCCCAAGTTAAATGTCCCTATTAATCACCAAGAGCATGCCTTTATTGTAGCCCTCGTCACAATAAGCCATAAATATTTGTGCCACTGATCTTCCATCTCTTTTAGAACAAAACAGTATGATGTCTGTCTTAACATATGATAAGTAATTAGTGTTTAGAAATAAACAAATGTGATTTTCTATTTCACCAGGACTACATAGAGTAGACATCACAGCAGACCAGCAATAACCACAATCTGAAAGTATTTTAATATAAAGCTAAAACGTGGACCTGATGGAATGTGTTATGTCTTCTATTTTGGATGTGTGAATTAGAGTAGGTTCACATTCCAAGTGTTTCTACTCGATCATTTCCAGGTTCATCCTTGTTTTTATCACTAAGCACCCAGAAATAAATGGTTAAAGTCTTTAGAATGATAGATTTGTAACCTCTTTTCTATAGTCAGAAATCACTACTCACAGTATTTAGGTCCATGGTGATCCCATTTCTAGCACTGAACTTCTAGACCTTATTATATCTTCTCTTCTTATTATATCTTCTATTCAGTTATGGGTATGATGTAAATGTATTGTGAAGTACATTTTGGCAAACTCCAATGCCAAAGCAGCCAACGAGATAACATAAGTGAATAAAGAGTGTTCAGTGTGGTGGTTAAACTTGGAAGAATTGTTGGTGGTGAACTGCCCTCTGCACACACCTGAAAGTGAATATACTGCTCAGCCTCAACCTATTCTTTTCATGAAGAAATTTGGATCCAGCATTGACAAAATCTTCTGATTGGTTTTCAAGAAAATCCTGGAATCCAGATTTTCATGTGGAAGTTTTCAATTTTTAAAACAATGTGTGAACAAAAGAAAACACTTTGGCAGGCTGTGTCTAGCCAGGTTATGATCTCTAATTCCTATGTGTACACCAGGGATAGAACACAAAAAAATGTTATCAAAATGACACTTCTGACGGGTGATGAATAAGTACTTAGCACGCAGATGGAGTCACTGATTTTATCAATCATTTCTGCAGTCTGTCAGAGTTGCTGATTACGGAATAATATGAACATGTAAATCAATTTTAAACTCAGAGCTGTATATATCTGAAAATCACTTCAATAAATAGAATTAATAATTTATTTCTATATACCAAGTCAATGTTTTCTCATGTTAAAGAGTTTTCTTATAGATCAAAGAGTAACAACACCATTATTGTGCTTCAAACATCTATGGTGTGTGCGTGTGTGTGTGTGTGTGTGTGTGTGTGTGATGCTTTCTTATTAGAAAGTTTATATTTATAAATTTAAGTATATACTGACACTTTATATTTACTGAAACAGCTCATTTATACTTGTTTAGATAGAGCACATACATGGCACTCACACAGCTTTAAAGGGAAATATTATTGAAATAAAATGGTTAAATTATCCCTAAAATTTAGTCTAAATTTTAAACTCAGATTTTCATTATACGTATATCTTCACCATTATCATCCTCTGTGCTGTCAAGGAGTTGGAAATGCAGGTTCTGGGGGAAAAAACCCAACTATTGGCTCTGAGAATTTCTTGCGAAGTGCTGTAAATTTCATTGCTAGTGGTTTCTTGACCTCAGGAGATGGTGCCAATAGAAGTTTTCAGACAATGAGTATCATGCTTTCCATAAATGGCCCTTAAATAGTTTGCAGGCTTCAACTGTTCAATGGTGGCTGCTGTTGTCATGTCACCAGAAAAGCCACCAAGTTCACACAGGCTCAGGCAATGACAACAATGTCATGACTGACTCCTGGACAACAGCAATTGTAAGATGTCATTAAATATTAGACTTACACTTATTTCAAAAAGATAAAAAGTGTGAAAAAAAGAAAAGAGTGTCTCAGAATTGATGAAACATCATTTACTTTCTTCATCTATGGAGGACAGCAATTACTACAATTATTACCAGAAATTCTTACATTTCAAAATGATTTTTGACTGGCTTCTTCTAATTCTTTATTCTAGGCACTATCAGAATAACTCCTAAGGACTCTCGTTGGGTTGGTGCGTGGTGGCTTGGTTTCCTTGTGGCTGGAATAATATCCATTATTTCTTCTATACCATTCTTTTTCTTGCCCAAAAATTTGGATAAACCAAGGAAAGAAAAAAAAGCTTCAGTATCTTTGCCTGTGCAAAATGAGGAAAAGAGTCAAATGGCTCATTTGATCAAGCAGGGGCAAAATGTTAGTGAAACTGTAGCTGGTAAGTATTTCACATTTACAGTGAATTTGGAATTGTTAATCCCAGTGAAAGGGAGGGGTGAATATTCCAAAATAATAAGTCATACTCAAGTCATCTAAATAAAGTTTGATTTCTTCTTTACTAAATTTGACTAAATTATTCTTCTAAGTTCCTACTAAAATTTGTAAATATTTTCTGAACACGTATCAACTCTGAAGGGAAGGGGATTAGGCTTGTGATCTTTAGCAGGGAGAAACCAATCAAAGGCTAAAAATATCTGTTATTTGTAAACCAAAGAGTATATATTCATTTCCAAATTACATAGTACAAACTATGAGGATTAAAACGTCTTTCTCTTTCTTCCTTCCTTCCTTCCTTCCTTCCTCCCTCCCTCCCTCCCTCCTGTCCTTCCTCCCTCCCTCCCTCTCTCTCTCTCTTTCCTTTCTTTCTTTCTTTCTTTTCTTCCTTCCTTCCTTTCTTTCTTTCCTTCTTTCCTTCTTTCCTTCTTTCCTTTCACAAATAGTACCAGGAAGCATACTATGCCCTGGTAATAGAATATTACCTCTGTTTTCCAAGTATTTACAATATAATGGGGTTGTACCGAAAAATATATAGACAATTGCCATATAGTGCCTATATAAACAATTATGAGTGCCTATAAATTGGGCAACTTAACTATTCTTAGGTGGAGACATGGAGTATGGAGAAGGAAATCAGAGGAAGTTTCTCTCTAGATAGAGTAAGATTATTTTCTTGGTAATTATATAGAAAAAATTGCTTACCTAAATATTAAAAAATGAAGTACAAGCAACAGTAGTAGTTAAGGTTATATTGTAGTCAGTCATGTGAATAAGAGCCCTCCACCATTTGATAGCGCCCTTCCTTTCAAACATAAGCCCCGAGGGCTAATGGAGAACAATTTAGGAGCAGTAATTTGGGGAACGATCCAGTGGCAGTCAGAGCAAGACAGTGGAAACAATGTTAATAGTGCAGTTTTCAGATTGCACAGAAATGGCAGAATAGTAAGAGTCAAAGCAGAGCAATGCCTGAACCCTTGACAACCTTTTCAAGTTGAAGTTGAAGTGACATTAGAGCTTGTCAGGTGGAGCCCAATTTCTCCCTCTCGTCAGTTCTTCCCCTCACTCCTTTTATTGTCACTTTCTCCTCTCCATCACTCTAATCGAACGCAATGGTGTGACTTGTATTGACTCATGAGAGAAGACTTAAATTTTCAGTCACATTGGTAGCTTGAAATTGGCCATGATGGGAGAAGTTACCACCATTTATTACCGAAATTGGGAAATACTCAAATCAATGTTGTTTTCCCAAGAATCAGTTGTTAAACATTTACCAGCACACCACTGATTTAGGAGTCTTTGAAATTTAACATGCACACTAAAAATACCATTCCAATAAATTTTCATTTGGTCTATGCTATTTTCACACTGCAGCAAATTAAATCCATAAAAAGTAGCGGATTATCTAAAAATAAGGAACGTGGTGACTGTGAGCCTCCCCAAAATGGAGAGGATAATGAAGATGCAAAATAGGGCGATTGTAAACATCATCTGTGTTATCAACTGTGTTTGTAAGATAGTGACCAAAATAAGATAGTAAAGAGGTTCTTAATTATGTATTATTAGGAATGGATGAAATAACTAAGAACACTTAGTCAGAAAATAATATATCTAATTTGAGTAGAAACAAGACTAGTTGGTTAGAAAGAAATAAAGATATCAGTTCATTACAAAAAAAAATTGTGAACAAGGAGAATTGTCCAAAAATGAGCAATTTCTTTCTGAGATAGTCAGCTTAATGAGTTGTTTATTGATCCGATTATTGAGGATATATAGTGGATCATGATTGTGTAGAAGTTCAGATGACATCCACGTTCTCACTCACCTCAAAAATTCAATGATTTGGTGAGCCCATATACCCCATTTCTTTTGATCAAACATCACAACTCACTTAGAATGCCTCACAAGTCAATTGTCCTTCCTGATTGGAGAGTCCCATGGAGAGAAGTTTAGCATTTTGACCTAACAATTTAAAATGTTATTTATTCCTGCTATACATTTCCTTACATCTTCTTTATTCTCCTTCTATGCCCTTTGCCCTAATCTTTTTTCTTGTTATTATAAGCAGATGAAACTATTTCTTAGTTACCATTGGATAGAAGGTTTGGTTCTAACCATATCTAATGGAAACCTTTAGAGATCTACAGCACAAGATCTTTCAAAGTCCACACCATCCAAAACTCAGTAACCATATCTGGTTCTGTCTTGCTAGACTCTGATACTTCCCACTGTTTTTCTAAGTGGTTTCTTCCACTTTTAACTCCCATTACAGCTGGTTAACCTGGTGATCATAGACCCAAATTACATAATTCTTGCTAGGTACGGAAGTTATGGATTTGTTACACACCTGTTTGTAGGCATGGGTTTTTTGCCCTACTGTTGTCATAATGTCACTTGAGACACAATATGTCTTTAAGAAAGCTGATGGATAATACTGCCAGATTTACTGAGGCAGTATTTTATGGTAGAAAAGCTATATACCAGGAAACAAGAGATCTGAATCCTGGTACTAAATTGACCTTTATGATTTTTGAACCTTAGTCTTCTTATTTCTGTGAGCTTTGGATTATATTATCTTTAAGATAAATTTCCAGTTAATAATTATATTATTAATATAATGATTATATTATTAAGTGCTAATAAAAAAGAGACATGGCATTTCATTCACTTTTGTTTCTTGAGTGCCTAGCATATTGCCTAGTACCCAATTAAAAACCAAACGTTTGCTAAATGAATGAATAAATGAACTAATGATGTATACAGTTGTATGGTAGAATGCTAAGAATAACCAAATACGAGGCGAACAAAGCACTGACTAAAACAGCATGTATGTTTGATCCCATTTTGGAGTAAAATGAACTAATTAAATAAATATTAATGCACATATGGAAAAAACTGAAAGAATTTTTTTAAAAAACTGTTAGTAGGATTGCAGGGTATTCTGACTTTCTGTGCTATATATTTATGGAATTTGAAATCTTATATAAATTATATTTACAAGATTAAGATATTAATATATATGTAAGCTGCATTATAATATTTTCTTTCTTTTTATGTTTTTATAGGTTTTTTCCAGTCCTTGAAAAACATCCTTACCAATCCCCTGTATGTTATAACATTAGTTTTGACACTGCTACAAGCCAGCAGCCATATTGGAATTATTACTTATGTCTTCAAATATGTAGAACAGCAGTATGGCCAGTCAGCATCTGAGACTAGCATTTTGTTTGGTAAGACCTGTTTATGTTTGCTTGATAAATGCTATGCTACTGAGTCACTGAGCTCCAAGTGACATTTTGTTGTGAAGGCAATTTCACATTTTATTAAATATAATTTTCATTTATTTTTTTCAAATTTTATCAAATCGATGGGTCTTGTGATATCATCATTGTTCTGCATTTGAAGTTACAGCTCATGTTATTTTTGAGGAGATGAATTCCTGAAGGAAAAGTGACATGTGAATGGAACATGTAGATATGATATCTGCATAACTGGATCTTATAATCTAGTGCTGAGCTTCTGAGGCAAATCCTTTTGTAATGTAATTATTATACTTCTATCCTTCATGGACTTTGAATCAGGACCCAGATACTTACAAAAACTAGGACACTGATGTTTCCAGGAGAAAAATCAATTTAAACACATCATTGGTATCTATATAATTCAATACAAATCTCGTATTTTAGAGAGGTTTTTTGCTGCAGTATCTGTTTCCAATGACACAAGGAGACTTCTTTATGAAGGAAGGTTTTCTCATATTATTCTTTCTCTACCCCCTGTATAATATAAGATTCTTAAGAGCAGTAGAATACCCAGTACATGGCCCAGCACATTGTAGAAACCCAATATTTGATAAGTCAAGCTGAATTTATCAAGTGATATATGAATAGGTCATAAGTAAACAAGAAAAATATAATTCTGTAGGATGTGCTTATTGAACTTAAGATAAAAGTTAAAACTGTAAATTTAACTCCTAATAAAGTTCTCAGCCTAAATTTTTTGTTAGAGGGATCTTCATCTTTAATCAATCTTGGAAGACAATGAAATGGAAAAGTTATAAGAGGAATCAACTATTTTTAACATCACATATAGACCTGTTTATCATCTTAGGGTATGTGTGTGTTTAGATGAATAAAGAAGAGATATTAATTTAAGTGTTCAATTCTAAACTACTGGGCAAATTTGTAGTAAGTTTTTAAGGATGGGAACTCTTCATTTTAAGGAAATGCAAAGGATTTTAGATGGTAGGATAAAAGTCTCAGAGTCAGGAAGATGATATTTTGTTGTTGTTTTCCGGGAGGGGACAAAAAGCACCTTATAAAAACCATATGTTCAGACATACAGATATTCTTAGTCACTGACTTTTGCTACTGAGGAAACTAAGCCTTCAGCATTGGCAGGAAGAAATTATTTTTATCTCCCCCACATGGTGCACTGACCCTCTACCTCCATCCTGGACTGCCAGCCTTCTATTTAAGAAGTAATAAGATAGGATGATTTTGGTTGATATACAGTGTTTCATGTGTAAAGACATTCAGAATAACCATATTTATATAATTACATTTCTTCTCTTACTTCTAGGATTCATAACCATACCAACTTTTGCATCTGGAGTGTTTACAGGAGGATATATCATTAAAAAATTCAAATTTACCTTGGTTGGAATTGCGAAATTTTCATTTTGTAGTCATATGTTGTCCTTCCTATTTCACCTATTAAATTTTGCGCTAATCTGTGAAAACAAATCAGTTGCTGGACTAACCTTGACTTATGATGGGTTTGTATATATATACATATCAATATACCAATAGCACAATATATAAACCATCTAATGTAAAAGAAAGTAAGGCAAACAAGGCAGATGGCAATTTTACTAAACTTTTAACTCAGAGAAATTTCAATTTACAAATTCTTAAAACGTTCATTTCTTAAGATCTCAAAAAGTCTTTTTTTTCCTTCCTTAAAGAAAAGCCATATAGTTTGTAATAGTAATAGTTATTATTTATGGGTGCTTACAATGAGTGATGGGTGCTTTTATCCCCATTTTATAGATAAGGAAAGCAAGGCTTAGAAAGATACACAGATTACATATCTAACAATGTTAAGATTCTGACTCAGATTTGAAGGTTTTTGACTCCAAAACTCTTAATCCTAACCACTATGATCTTGGGTGAATCATGAGAGAAATATAAATGACATTTTCCAAAAGTGACTGAACAATCTTTATCTGCAGTTAATTTTGATGTTTAACAATTATCTTTATAAGAAAACCAGTACACTGCACTCAATTCTCCTTTTTTGCAAGCTAATTCCGTTTCTTCTGGTATTGTCTTCATTAGCAGTAGAATTGATAAATACTCTATACATAATGGCATATTAGACCTAGAAAACTTTTACTTTTCATTATTATCACGCATTGTGCAGTATACCTAGTAATACAGTCTCTACCCCAAATCAAGGGCAAGATTCCTGTGCAGATTTCTCATCATCTCCTGAATATAGCCAACAATTTAAGTTTAGGAATGTTCACGTTCAAGCAACAAGCAAAGATCCTTGGATCACAGTTTAGTAACCAGGCTCCTTAGCACTGCTTATTGCTGGCTTTGGGCTTTGAAACTCTGGGTCTTATGAGGTGTCAATTTGAACCTGTCAAATCTTCCCACATTTGCTTACCTAAACATCATCCTATTCTTGGAGGCTTGCCAACTTAATCTTGAATTATCTCCCCATTCCCTCCTAATCCTGTTTGTTGTTGAATATTCCTATTGACCACCACTCACTCTGGTATATCAAAATACAGAGTACCTAGAACATTGAACTTTAGAGGGAAGAGAATCCTGGAGATTATGCAGCCCGACCCTCTTATATCCTCTTCCTTTGTTAGTTGAGACCTGGAGAAACTGTGGCTTGTTTGAAGTCATACAGTGACTCCAGAACGATGCTACTTCACAGCACAAGCATACAGGCTTTAACCTAAAGCCAGTTCCCTGAAACAAGCACAGTAACTGTGCTATCTATTCAAAAGAAGGCAGCTAGAGTTCTATGGGCTTTTTTCATTCAATAAAATTTCACTGAGTGCCTCCTTAAAGGTCAAAAAATTTATAGGATACCTCAGTGCCCTCATGGAACTCATAGTCTAAGTGATGGCTATTAACAGAATCAATATATTTAGCATTTATGAAATGTTAGTCACTGGGGTAAGTTTTTAGAGTATGAATTACTGTAGAGTTTCTCAGAATGTGGTCTGAGAATCTACAGGGGTCCCTGAGACTTTTGCAGATGGTCAACAAATTATATTTTTATATTAATACCAAGATAGTATTTTTCTTTTTCATTCTCATTTTCTAATGAGTATATAGTGATATTTTTTTTTCATTTTTATTTTATATTGGAGCATAGTTGAGTAACAATGTCATGTTAGTTTCAGGTGTACAGCAAAGTGATTTAGTTATACATATACATGTATTTATCCTTTTTCAAATTCTTTTCCCATTTAGGTTATTACAGAGTATTGAACAGACTTCCCTGTGCTTGTACAGAGATATTTTCTAAGGCTACAAGATGATGATAATATCAGTCTGTTGGCTAAGGATATGTGTGCTTGTGCATTCTCATGTACTAAATTTTTCTTATTATTAATCTCTAGTAGAGTATGTATATCAATAAGTAGAACCCACTTGAACAAAAAACCCTTGGGGTCCTCAATACTTTTCAAGAATCGACAGGCTGCTGGGAACAGAAAGTTTGAGAACAGCTAAATTAACTTTTTTCCAAAAAAAAATTCTATGAGGATTTATGACTTAACAAATGGCAAATCTAATTTTAGAAAGAGTAGTCACATTGCTGTGAAGTGGCAGACCTAATGTGAACACAGGACTGTCTGATTGCAATGTCCGGACTGAGTCATTAATCATTATGATAAATCACTCCCTGTCCATCGTGTGTCCCCAAGCAGGATTAGGTATTATATGCTTTCAGTAAAATCATTGATTACAGAATTTCTGAATCTACCTTCTTCTTCATGAAAATTACTTTCTCATTCAAAGATAATTTATCAAGATTTTTACCAAAAAACAAAAGAATAATTTAAAAAAATCTATAAGCAGAAAATTAATTATATGAATAATCCATTTAATAATTTTAGCCATATTATAAGATTATATTTTATAAATACAACGATGTTTCACAGTAAATCATTATAAACTTTGTTATGGTTTCATTAAAAAATCATATGAAGTTTTTCTAGTCTTTCTCAACTGATTCTATTATTCTTTTTTTTTTTTTTTGCGGTACGCGGGCCTCTCACTGCTGTGGCCTCTCCCGTTGCGGAGCACAGGCTCCGGACGCGCAGGCTCAACGGCCATGGCTCACGGGCCCAACCGCTCCACGGCATGTGGGATCTTCCCAGACCGGGGCACGAACCCGTGTCCCCTGCATCGGCAGGCGGACTCTCAACCACTGCGCCACCAGGGAAGCCTGATTCTATTATTCTTGATTTTTAAAAATTGATCCTTAAGGATTCTGCTTTGACCACGTTGAATCCTTTCCTTGTGTAGTTAAAATATAGATTAAAAAATTCAAACTAGTTAATTAACATTCACAGATTCATGAGACTTTACAGTGAGCTGGGAAGAACCTTAGTCTAATGCCATTACCCTACTGAACAGAAACCAATTCTCAGAAAACTGAAGTGATTTTTGAGGAATTTTTTGACAGAATCACAAAGACCTCTTGTCTATGTCTTACCTATCCTCTTTGGTTTCTTTTTTATGTTTTACTTTTTCTACATCATAAATCATGTCTGGGTAAAGATAAAGGGTGAAAAAGTTAATAAGCACTAAAAATAAACTTTGCCATTTTGGACAAGCAAAATATCTCTATTTAATTTAAAGACAACCCTTTCCCTTATTTCTCATCTCCTTTTCGTCTCTCCTCCTTCTTTTCCTTTCCCTCCCCTTCTCTTTTTGTCCTCCTCCTTCCTTCCTCTCCCCTCCTCCTCCTGCTTCTTCTTCTCCTTCTCCTTCTTCTTCTCCTTCTCCTTCTCCTTTCTCTTCTCCTTCCTCTTCTCCTTCCTCTTCTTCTTCTTTCTTCTTCTTTTCTCTCTTTCTGATATATGTCTATCATATATTTCCAGAAATAATCCAGTGGCATCTCATATAAATGTACCACTTTCTTATTGCAACTCTGACTGCAATTGTGATCAAAGTCAATGGGAACCACTCTGTGGAGACAATGGAATAACTTACATATCACCTTGTTTAGCAGGATGCAAATCTTCAAGTGGCAGTAAAAATTCTGTTGTGAGTATTATTTTTTACTTTCTTCTCCTTAATCAAAACTGCAGATTTGATTTAACTTACTTAAACTTTGATAATTACTTACCAAATGTTTCTACAACTAAGGTCACCAGTAAAAAGATAGAAAAAGATTCCCATTATTGCCTGTCATTGTGATGGCTGTGATGTGTAAACAAAGCCTCACATAAAATCCTGCTTGAGACACAAACAGGTTTTTCTGTTGCTTGAATTCTCATGAGATTACTCCCACCTTTTCTTCTTGCATTTATAAGACTATGACCTTTTGAAATTTAGAAACATTTATGATTTCTAGGAAGCACCTCATTTGACTAAAGGATATGATTCCCATTAGGTTGGAAGTACTTTACCCTTCAGATGCTAGGGGAAAATCCTGAGCCAACCCCTTGTCAATCTAGGTGCCTTTTCAGGACAACCATCTATATGCAATCTTGCATATAGATTCTGGAGAGTTTATCTTGAGGCTCAATACCCTTTTGACTTTCCAAGAAATTAATCAAGGCTTCATGCTCACTTGACTGTCCAATTTTTGGCTTCCAATTTTGATTTTTTTCAAGGTTGGCACTTTTCCTATGCAGGATAACTTAATATTCTGCTTACCTATTGCTAACATCTCCCATAGAAGTGCCACTGTCTTCTTCACTCAAAATATCCCCTTCCATGCAAATTATGAGCTCTCCCCAATCCCCCAAGTAACTTCCAATAGCTGGGCATCAGATATGGTGTTCTCTATTCTACTTCCAATCCACTGAATAACTCACAAAGTTGGGGACCCATTTCCTGGGCCCTTTTCCTATCACCAATATTAGCAATATTATCAGCTATGATCATTGCTCTCTACCACATCCTCCTGTCTTTGATTTTCAAACTTTACCATCATTTTCTTGCCCATAGTCCTACTAACTGCATTAATGAAGGTCACTGAGAACTTTTTGAAGAACCTAGATTCTTTGAAGCTGAGTCATAAATTTGCACAAAAATGGCCCAAAGACTATACTTAAAAACCCATATCTCATATGCATGGCTATAGTGCCTTTCATTGAGAGTGCCCCGTTTAATCTATGGTCCCACCTTGTCCATGCGTGAAGGGCTGGAAGAGACATGATGTTAGAATCCTAAAGAGAGCTCTGTCTACTATGGAGACATCATCTTCTTAATACTTTACCATTTAGGGACCACTGCGGAGTTCTTTTACCAAATTCTTAGTAATAAGTCATCCCTTCTTAATCACTCAAAATAATGCCCTTTGTACTTAAGTTTTGTTTTATTGGCTGATAGGCTTGCTACATAAAGAATTTCTCCATACAATTCTTAGTAAAAAAAAAGTAAAGCTTGGTCATCAGATAAGTATGAATTCAAATTCTTCCCCAGTTCCTCCTTCAGTAATTGGTCTTTAGCATTAATGGGTTCAAATTTCCCTTAAACCTTAGTTTAGCCTAGACTCAGAACAGAATTTATTAAAGCCATCTAGCTACATAAACTGCCTGCCAAATTAAATTTCTAAAATCATTTGTTCCTAAATTTTCTCCAGCTGTGTTCTAACCTTTAGGGTATTCTGTTGTGTTGAACCTCTCTGGTAATGGCATCAACTATCCTATAATCTGTCATTATGCAATCAGATGTTGTATTTGCTGGCCAAAGTGGAATTCTAGCATCCGTGCCTGGTCCCTTCTGCCCTGGACTTTGCCCCATTCGAATGGGTGGTTCTCGACCCAGGTTTGACCCCTCCAAAACTACTATATTTTCTGGATTCCCTAGGCAATCCTACCCAGGGAGTGTCACTAACACTCTGTAGAGATTGTTAAAGAGAGTAAGTAGGTGTGCTATAGAAAATAAAAGTGAGTGGTAGAGAAATATTTAAACATTTTATATTGATGAGAAAATAATTTACAGTTTCAGACATTACTTTTTTTCTATTCTTTCCAAATTTTTAATTTAGGGATGTATGAAAAGTTAATAGTAAATTACATTTTCTTGTCTATAAAGGAATCCAGGAAACTATTTTGCCTTTCAATTCTTCAACAACTGTATTGTTAGAATGTTTTCTTTAAAAACTGTAAATATTTTAGCTTAGATGAGTGAGATGTCTTTAAATATAATAGAATATATTTATAGCCCAGTCATATTTTGTAAATATATTCTGTCATATTTCAAAAACTATTTTTCAGATGTTTCATAACTGTAGTTGTGTGGAAGTAAATGGTTTCCAGAGCAGAAATAACTCAATGAAGTTGGGTGAATGCCCCAAAAATGATCAATGTACAAGAAAATTTTATGTTTATATAGTAGTGCAAATATTTATCTTTTTTTCTTCTGCATTGGGAAGCACCTCAAATATCATGCTGGTTTTTAAGTGAGTATTACTTTTTAAAAGCATTTTTACATAGACTATAAACACACCTAATAATGTGCATATTTTTCCATAATATATTTGGAACCCCAATTCATATTTTGTTACATTTAAATTTTCTAAGAGTGCATTTTCTTAGGATTACTGTGATATTTCACTGCCATAATTACTAATAATTTTGCCTTGACCTTTGCCACTACAAAATCTAGATTCCGTACTTTCTCCTCTTAATGAGAATTTTAAGACAGAGACTGATCGACAACTGCCTCAAAGTGAAAGAATCCCCGTTGTGATTCTAAAAGAACTTCTCATTTTGAGATGCCTTATACCCTGTTGGTCCTGTCAGAGTGAATCACCTATTGATTCCATTGAAAAAAAAAACTGGGGAACCAGATCACATAATATAAACAGTCTATGATATTCCAAAGTTTTTAATCCTAGTTAAAAGAATGGCTTTTGACCTAGTCTCTCAAATACCCTCGTAGAGAAAAGAAAAATACATGAGCAATATTCGTTCTTTTCCTCACTGATTAGACAAATATTTAGACCACACTTGGTGAAGAATACTCCATGGTGAATAAAACAGATAAACTACCTGTTCTCATACAGTTTAGAGTGTAACAGGAAAGACTTATGTAAGGCAAATAAGCTTAAAAATAAACACATAATTACAAACTGTCGTTAGTACTACTAAGAAAAAAAGAGTGCTATTAAAGGGAATAAAAAGGAAAAACAAATTTAGGATTGAGGTGAGGAGCTGTGAGGAAGACTCAGAAAATACTTCTCAAAAACAGTGGCACAATCTAAAGGTCTAGAGGGTATGTTAAAGTTAGCAAGTGAAGAACTTTACAGGGAGAGGGGCTATATGCCAATGCTTCAAGGCAGGAAAGAACTGATGTGTTTGAGGAGTGAACAGAAGCCAGTTGGTTGGAACATACTGCGTGAGACAGATGGCACAAGGTAAGACTGCAGGGTTAGGAAGTGAGTAGGTAATACAAGGCCTGTTGGTGAAGTTAATCATTCAATCACCTAAAAGTGAAAGCATGTAAAGACTTGCATGTAGGTATTAAAATATATATGTGTAAATATGGTGATCTGGGTTAACCTCTAGTTATACTTTTAAGACATAAGTAGTTAGCAACAGGTTCACGGTCAGCCAACAGCATGACTTAGAAGGGAAAGAAAACAAATATATTAATGTTTTTTAAAATGAGTTTAAAGCTATAAACTGAGACTACAGTTGTTTAAATTCCACAATGACCCTTAAATCTTGTCAAATTATTTATAGTAATTTATTCCACAGATAAAGCTCTACCTTACCATAAAATACTGTCTACTCAAAAGGAGAAGCTTTCCATATTTGCCAAATTACAGATTCATTAAATTACAGGAAGTTGTCTCAAAACTCCAAATTAGCTTGCATCTCAACAAGTCTTGGCTTCTTAATTTAAAATTTTTCATGAGGAGAGCGAGAATTTTAGAGAAAACTGTTACAACATTGATGATAATTTTATCTTAATAAGAAAGTGATAAGATCAACATTGCCATTTATCAAAAACATTTATTGATTTCTCACCAACCTTCGATTTTATTGAAAGAGAATTTTTGTGAGGCAGACTGTGGAATAAAAATATAAACTTCAGTCTATTAATGATTCCCCAATGCTTACATCATAAGGCTATTATTAAAACTAGACTAAGCAGGAGTGTTGATATTTACACATTCAGTATATATGTTAGGCACGGTTCTAGGGACCACGGATGGAACTGTGAACAAAAGTGATAAGGGCTCTCCTTTCATTAGCTTTCATTGGGGTGAGGGATGGGAGAGTGGATGGGTGTAGGAGAAGAAACAATAAATAAATAAGCATGTAAATACACACAAAAAAGAAGTGTTAAGCATTAGGAAGAAAAAATCAGAGTAAAAATATAGAAAAGGTAATAAAATTTTAATGCTTGGAAATACAGATGACAGGAATGAGGAAGGAATTCTTGTACTATTCTTGCAACTTTTCTGCAAGAATAATTAATTTCAAAAACTTTTTTCGAAATAATTTCAAAAGCATTTTTTTACAACACTGTTTTAAAGAAATGGTAGTTTCAGACTGTTCCCTCCCAAGAATTTGAAAGCTCAACCAACTCTGTGAATCTTTAAAAATTGGACAGGAGTTATAGAAGACGACTCATCATAAGAGCCCCTTTCCTCTTAGTAAAAGCCACCCTCTCTGCAAGAACAGTTAAGTTGTGAAGAAATCCACATATTATAGAATAATTGAGGCTAAAGCTATGATCTGGATGTGCATGATAAACAACCTACTTCACTTCTACAAAGTGTGGTTAGTCTACCAAGTGCTTTTCTGGGGCTTTTATTCAATCACCTGTCTGAGCCATTGAAAGAGATGGATCACCAAACTAGACTACAACATTCCATGAGCATCTGAACCTCCAGCCTCACTAGGTCAACGGCCTGCATCTCCAGTAAAATGCAATTAGCTAATCACCATGCATCCAAAAAAATTAAACATTAAGAAGCCTAACAGCCAAGTCTATAGTACATTGCTCAGGCCCTTGGCAGAGCCCTCCATCACTAAATTCTGGTGAGGAAGGAGGCGCACTTCATCTTCACTAACTAGGGTTTTAATTACCCTCTGTCTCTGCAAATTGCAATGGCAGGGTCTGCTTTAGGATCCCCATTCCACTGTCACCACAGCCTGACTTGATGTTCCCCCAGTGTGGGAAAGGGGAGACCATAGATGAGAATAACCTGATGAGGAAAAAAGAAAGGAAAAAAGAAAAGCCAAGAAAGAAGAGGGGGTGGAGAAGCTGTACTAATTCAGATACCTTCCATTGAAAGTCATTTGATGAGACCTGAATAAAGATTGAGGGTACAAATCATGCAGATATGAACAGGTGAAGAGCAATCCAGGGAAGGTAGCAATGGAGGTAAAAGTCCTGAGGTGGAACATACTTGACATGTACAAGACCAGGAGGACTGTACGAAGAAGAAAGAGGTAAGAAGTACAATGAGAGAGCAGGCAGGCATGGTGCAGATAACACAGACCCTATGGATCACAGTAAAGACTTTGGAGTTTACTCTCATTGCATTAAGAAGCCAGCAGAGAGATCTGAGCAGTAGAATTATACAACTATCTTATCCAATTAGAAGATCACTCTGGCTGTTGGGTGGAAAATATGTCTTTGGGAGGCAAGAACAGAATCAGGGGAAACAGAAGGCTGCGATAGGAGGTGCTTTTTGTGGAGAATCCATCCTGAGAAATGTTGATCAAAGTACAGAGCTGATCACTATCAGATTGAGGTAGGACCCACGCTGCGGTGACCAATGCTTTACATGATAAAAATGTGTGCGTGTGTGTGTTGAGAGTGTGTGTGTAAGTATGAGCATGAGGGTCTGTAAGTGTGCATCCATGTGAATGTAGCAGTGTGTGTGATTGTCACTGTATATGTGTGTATGTGTGTTGTGTGTCATTATATCACATAAGTCTATCATTTCCACTGAGTTGTCTAAGATTTCAAGTTCCCTTTCAGGAAGATATTATCACTATCCCCAAGTCCGCTCAATTCTCCTACACACTAGCCCTCTCCCTGGGTAAAAATACAAGTTGATAACAAACATCTCAATTTTGCCTCTATCGCATCCAGCTTGTAAGCCAAAATACACCCTTTAAAAAATCAACTGCAATGAAAAGTGACACTTCAGGCACTTGTCACAGAGAATTCAACCAGGAACAAACTGCATTCTCTCTCTTCCCAAAAGCTCTTTTAAGAAATCTGATATTTGAGAGAGACAGCTAACTGGACTAGTTAACTGTCATGGCTGATTCCCTCATGACAATTTCCTCAGGGAAGAACTCACCTCTTTGAATAACATGACCTCATCTACTTACTGGCATGGCTTCACTGCCCTCAAGGATAGTGTTTTGTGTCCTCAGCTCGGCTAGTGGAAGTGTCCCTGCCTTTTGCAAAAGCAGAGAAAAAACCCTTTCCATTCATTTTCTTTCTTAATACATAACTCTGCTGTGTTTTATTTTTATTATGCTATGTTTAATTTTTTATTCTGTTTACTTTTATAAGCTTTCTTGAATACTTTTGAGAATATCACTCAAGGGTAGCTCTCCTACAAGGCTTAAAGGGCAATTTTGTGTAAAGAAAATTGAGGTTTAGAGGGCTAGCTTATTACATTGTATCCTCACAACACACAAGATAAGTCTACTTAGCAGATAAGGAAACTGAGGCTAAGAGAGGTTGAATGACTTATCTAAGGCATTTAGTTACTATAAACATGATTTATCTCTTTATATCAATAACAAAGACTAGCACAGAGTCTCCTAGGAGGCACATGGCAAATGTTTGTTGAATGACTAAATTTACTTATCTCCGAACACATACAGTCATTCAAGAAAAAACTAAACCTTTGTATCAGTTAATTCAATATTTCAGTAAAAACAGAACTTCTGAGCCTCAGTCACCCTCCCCCATCTTGCCACTACAGTCAGATAATTTATTTTGCTTGATATGTATTAGGTTATTACAGAGTTGGTTGTATCATCAGCTCATTGAACATAGAAATATGGAATTGTGGAAATAACTTTCTAAATGCAAAAGTGAGTTAAATTTTGAGAGGATACAAGTGTATTTTCTACCTTTAAAATGACATTTAAATACACTAGACAGTAGAATACAGATATCTTTTTTGACCTTCCTGGTTATATTATGTAGTTTATGAATCATATTAGTCAACTTTTCTGTTAACGGCAATGATAGAAATGAAGTAGTAAAAAGAGTTCTGCTCAGACCAAGACCTACATAAAAGTATTTGCTCTCTCATATGGCAGGTGTCAATGGAATAGATCACACAAAATCCCTGTCTTCATAGATATCATAAAGTCTATTCCAACCACTATCTCAGGATTTCCTAAGGATCAAATGTGGAAATGTTTGTAAAACTGTCTTGAAATTGTACCACACTGAATAAGTAAAGAAATAAGAACTGTTAATATCATTCAGATGTTTGCCTTCTAAAACAACTGAAAATATAACTTTAAATAATATCTGCTCTTCACTTGAGGATTTTCATTAGATCATGAAGAACAACACTGAGAAATGCTTTAATATTTAGCTCAATCTGGTATTTTAGAGATGCTTAATGTTGCTTTGCCTTTATCTTATTTCAGAAATGTTGAACCTGAACTGAAATCACTTGCCATGGGTTTCCATTCACTAACTATTCGAACACTAGGTATGATAAATATGTAGATGGTAAATTCCAGGTATAAATGTTCATGTCAAAGATCAAAGACTGAATGTAACTGATTTCCAATTATCAGAAAGTTTCTTTAAAAAGGTATAAGTAAAATATCATTTTAATGTTTGTGGTAAATGAAAAATAATGAGATAAAGGAGAACTAAATGACCTAAAAGAGAATTTCATTGTCAGTTCTATTTAGAATCAATCTGTAAGAACAAGGCATCATCATAGTTGTATTGTATCCTTTCTAAAACAAAGATCAGTGGTCTCCAAGAATTTAATTTAAGACTTAGGAATATTTCTTCCCATATGCAGAGTGCAGGACCTTCCTTCTATGCTGAGGGGGGTAATGCCCAAAACAGCTCAGGAGACCTGGGAGATTGTGCAAAACAACAGATGAGGACTTTCACAGTCCCTCAGACTAGTTCTCTAAGGCTGGGGCAGATAACCTTTAATAGAAATTTAAAATGCAGAAGGGAATGGGTGTTACTGAACTCAGGTCTGGCTGTTCCCTGTTCAAAAGCCAATATTTGAGAGGCAAGTGTTGGTAGAAAGGAAAGTTGCTTTAATCAGAAAAACCAGCAATCTAGGGAGAAGGCAGACTCATCCCAAAACCATCTCTGAAGATTCTGCTCAGCCATGATAGTTTTTAAAGGGAAAAAGGGGAAATAGTCTCAGTTAATTATTAAGGCAGGAGGTCAGATTCCTCATCATTTTTTCACTTCATGCAGACCTGCTGACTACTCCTGATCTTCCTTTGGATGCTATCTTGCCCATGTGGTCTACTTGCAAGTTTGCTAGGGGGGCACTAGGGATAGAGAGTCAATCATTTTTTAATTACTTAATTCTTCATTCCTACTCCTTTTAATCTAGGAAAAGAATCAACAGGTTAGGCAAGGCATGGTGTGCATTAAGTAGAGCACAAGTCAGGAGTTAGATTAAATGTTACCTAGTGATCTGTTTTTTATAATTAAGGTTTAAGGGGAACAGAAATAGACAAACAGAAAAGGAGCAAAAGAGCTGCTTGTCAGACATCATTCCATTCCATGGGATTAGGGATGAAAGTCCATCTTCTATAATTTCATGCCGACATAGGGCACTGTATTCTTAAAGTGGAAGATGTCGACATGGATCTGTAGTATCTTTTTGCTGATAATTTTAGAGGCCCACCTACATATACAGGCAGAGTAAACTACAACTATTTTGATGCCCACAAAATATAGATTTTCATGAGCAATAATGTTAATCCCATTATCTGAAGCCAGTTCTTGGAATTGTGCTAGCCATAGATGGAGCAGCTTATGGCATGGCTATAGGCTGGTCATTAGGCGGTTAGCTTTTTCTCTTTGGTGGCAGTTATGGTATCTGCAACACAACTCAGGGATGTACATCAGACACTGGAAAGATTCTGTGACTCTGCTGTCCTAATCATTAACTGCTTGAGCTTGCTCTTTTGTGACTCAGGAAGGCCTGGGAGACTTCATCTTTTCTACAAACAAGAGGCAGGGGACATGGAGGGACCTTTGTACTTGCAGGGGCCCGCAGGGTTCTGCTTGGTTTCATGGGAACTAAAATTCTAGAACTGAGCATCTTAGAATGGGGAGTGCTCTGAATGAAAGAAAGCTAGGAAGTTGTGTTTTGTTGTTGCTGTCAAATAGTAATACTATAGAATCTAGAGGCTAAAGGCCTATTTCTAAATATTCAGATGAGGTGATTAGTACAAGATTTAGAAAATTATCCTTTTCTCTTTGTTGCCATTTGCCATTTATACCATACAGTTTCCTGTTGGTAGCTTAACAACTTCTAACCTAACCCCTGTGCTACTGCTTTTTAAGACCTGTTAACATTATATGCTTATTCCTGGGAAGTAGGAAAAGGACATGACTGCTCTAGGAACTGGGGTAGGCAACTGATCATGGCCGGGAGGCAACCACCGATGGCTGAAAGAAAAGGAAATGGGAGGGTGTCAATCCTTGGGACTCTTGCAAGCAAAAGAAAGAAGCATAACTATGGCCAAGTTACAATGGAGCAGGTGTCCAACAAGTATATTTGGGAGAAAATCACAGATCCTCAAAGGTAAAAGGAGAAAATATAAAAGGTATGGGAGAGAAGAAGATGGAGGTACTGTAGGATGATAAGGGCTGTGAGTGAGCTACAAAGGGCTAAGAGTTCTAAAGAGGATAGTTATTTCCAGCTGGCAGGAATAGTGCAAACTTTATGGAAGAGGATCATATAGTTGGAATCATACCGTAAGTAGTTTTTCAGACTGCCTTCTTTCAGTTAGCTATGTGCATTAAAGTTTCTACCTTGTCTTTTGTAGCTCTCTGTCCAATCCTGGCAGTTCCTCTAGATCCAATGGAGATGCCTCACTCCTAGAATCTAAGCTATAAAAGTTAGCAGATAGAAAGAGAATTTGGGGAGCTAGTATTCCTTCTGATATGCTGAAATGAGATTGAGAATAGAAGAAGTTCCTCTAGAGACGTAAAATAGAAAAAAAGGAATTTTGCTATTCTGATTTTGAGCATCCTATTTTGATACGTCCAGTATATGGCCCAATGGAATCTAACTCTTCTAGGGGAGAAATACATACTGAGGACCAAATGTCCAGTCACAAACAACTGTCTGAACACAATGTAAATTGTGGAAGGTATATTAAACTGAAACAGGTATTTGGAAAACAAGTTATCTGAAGTTTTAAATTTTCAATAATATAAGACCAAGTTTGTTACCTGAAACATTTAATTCATTAAGTTTGATCAAACCAGTGCTATTTTTATATAAGAAAAATGAATTGTTGGCACATAGTTTTCATTTTTCAAAGGAATGGCTTAGATTTGTAGAAACCTGTGAATTCCTAATCCAGTAACAGTTCTCCTCAGATATATTCGTCTCAGACACCAGTTCCTTGACATTCTAAGATTTCTCACTCTCAGAAGATTGAGACTGATTAAAAGTAAATGAAATTGGCAAAACTGTAAACTATGAATCACTACCATTTTTATGTAACAATATAAAATTTGAAAATTAGCATATCTATAAAATCTGGTCAAGTTACTAATACTTAGAATTAGGAGTCAATGTCAGAGTTTATTAAAATAGCAGTAAAAGCAGATGGGCACTTCTGCTATAAGACAACATGTGTGTTCCTGAAAATCCTCAAATTCTGCAAAATCATACACTACAAATAAAAACTGGGTTAGGTACAGGCCACTGAAGAAACCTAGGCATCATTATGATCAGAACATCAACAGAAGCAAAATTCAGCACCACAGGCCCTTGGACAGCCCAGGCTGCTTCAGGAGGTATTAAAAATGAATACAATCGGGCTTCCCTGGTAGCGCAGTGGTTGAGAGTCCGCCTGCCGATGCAGGGGACACGGGTTCGTGCCCCGGTCCGGGAGGATCCCGTGTGCCGCAGGGCGGCTGGGCCCGTGAGCCATGGCCACTGAGCCTGCACGTACAGAGCCTGTGCTCCGCAATGGGAGAAGCCACAACAGTGAGAGGCCCGCGTACCGCAAAAAAAAGAACACAATCAATGGAGAAAAAATGCTTCATGACTCCAAGAAGGTGGGAGTGGAGCCCTGAGGCCAAAAAAAAAAAGCACAGCCTACCAGGAGCCTAGCACTCAGTGAAGCTGGGCCTGTGCTTCTCTGGGGAGGAAGTCCTAGTGTTGACATTCACCGTTTTTTTTTTTTTAAGATTTTTTTTTTAGATGTTGGGGGTAGGAGTTTATTAATTAATTAATTAATTATTGCTGTGTTGGGTCTTCGTTTCTGTGTGAGGGCTTTCTCTAGTTGTGGCAAGCGGGGGCCACTCTTCATCGCGGTGCACGGGCCTCTCACTATCGCGGCCTCTCTTGTTGTGGAGCACAGGCTCCAGATGCGCAGGCTCAGTAGTTGCGGCTCACCGGCCTAGTTGCTCCGTGGCATATTGGATCCTCCCAGGCCAGGGCTCGAACCCGTGTCCCCTGCATTAGCAGGCAGATTCTCAACCACTGTGCCACTAGGGAAGCCCCCACCTTTTAATTTACTTAAAAATAGAGTTGAAAAATCTCTTGCCTTTGCAGCAATTGAGCTGAGAGATTTTCCCTTTCCCTGTGAAGTTATAACTCTACTCCTGCTATTCTAGCTGTCCTTGCCTAAGAAAAATTACATATGAACCAATATAACTTCTATGTTTTACTGACAACATTCTCCTTTTTACCAACCAGGCTTAATTGGCATTATAAGAAGAACAATGTACAGGCATATAATCTTCCTTCTTCCCTATATGTGTTGGCATGGTGAGGGTAGATAAAAGATGTCTATGCTATTGTATGTGATTTGAGCTTTGGAGATTCCTCATAATCTTGATTCTTGAGTAGAGTTAGGCCAAATCAATGGACAAGTGCTCCAAAATTTTGTTTTTCAAAATTTTTAATTTCTACATAATCCAAATATTTCAGAGTGGAATATCACTTTTTCCTTTGAAATATGTTCCTTGGGTTGACATCTTCTCATCTTATGTTGCAGGAGGAATTCCAGCTCCTATATATTTTGGGGCTCTGATTGATAGAGCTTGTATGAAGTGGTCTGTCAACAACTATGGGAAGCAAGGGTCTTGTCGGATATACAATTCCACATTATATGGGTAAGTTGTCATAAATATATTTCATTAATTGATTTTTTCCTTTGACTATGTTAATTACTAAAGAATGAGATATTTTCAGTGTAATAATAATATTAGGAATTATAGCTACCATTTAATAAACTTTGTAAACAACTAAAAGTTATAGAATTAATTCCATTCAGTTAAACCTAATAATTGTTCAAAGTATCTTTTGCATAAAGCTTCTCAACATTTAGTTAATAACGTTATGAGGCGACTGCTTCCCAACCTACCAGGTCAGTGGTCATCAATCTTTCCTGCTCATTATAATCACCTGAGGACCTTTAAAAAATATTAATTTATTTTTTTCCTTTTTTGGCTGTGCCATGCAGCTTGCAGGATCTTAGTTCCCCAACCAGGGATTGAACCCGCACCCTTAGCAGTAAAAACATGGAGTCCTAACCACTGGACCACCAGGGAATTCCCCAAAAATGCTAACTTCTATTTTGAAATACTTACTTCAATTTTGATTTAATTGGTCAGGGGGTGTGGCCTGGGGAATGGGAGTTTTAAAATCTCCTTATGTGATTCTTATGTTCAATCAAAGCTGAGAATCCTTGGACTAGACCATGTGTACTAGGTAATTTTATGTGGCTTTGTGAAAAATTTTCAGTAGACCACAGGGCAGGGCTTCGTAGACAGCAAGCCTATAAGGTAAACATTGGCTCCTGGTTCAATACAAATGGATTCAATCTGATTATCTCACAGTCAGTTCATTTCCTTTATAATCTGTTCTCATTACACATGAACTAATCTGTCTCTGAGAAAGTTAAACATTCCAAATATACCTTATTTTACGGATAGCACTTGGGCAGATCGTGAACCATCCTTAGTTTCTGTGGGTTAATAGTCCTTTAAAAATAATCACAAACTTCTTATGCTCCAATCAAAAGAATCACTGAAATTGCTTCTTCAATGTTTTTATGTAAGATTTCAAACATCATTTTTTAAAGGCCTTCTGCATACTGAAGAGCAACACTGTGAAGTGTTTTCCAAGTAAAAACTGACTTTTTTTCTCTTTTCACAGAAATACTTTCTTTGGCTTGACTACAGGCTTAAAACTCCCAGCTCTTGTTTTATATGTTGTATTAATTTCTGTTATGAAGAAAAAATATCAAAGAAAAGATATCAAGACATCAGAAAATGAAAGAAAATCCGTGAACGAAGCGAATTTAGAACCGTTAAGTAGTGATGCCGCAGTGGACCATGAAACACATATTTAAGGGGAGAAAAAAAATTATTCTGCTGCTGTGTTTTCAACTAACATTGTATTAATTGAGTAGGATGTTATTTTTGAGCAGTTCCTGGTCCCTTCACTGACAATTTTCACATTCTATACTAATGATGGAACAATGAATCACCTATGAATTTATGACAATGAAACAAACTATAAATGGGAAAAAATGGGAGTACTCATTGTTAAGGTGTGGCTATGCATTTGTGGTTAAGATTAGAATATATGATCCATACAAATTTAAAGTGAAATGTATGGTTAATATGTAATAGAAGAAAATGTATTTGCTCAGGTAATTGTAACGCAATAAAACCGGTGACTAGAAGATAGGTAGACGTGAAAAAGGAAGAGAGAAATTAATAGTCTAAATAAGAAGAAAAGCTTAATACCTTTCTTTTTAAAACAAGAACCAAAACCAGTTTGGACTATGTTACTCAAGCCTGAAGTCTAGTATGATGGAGGGCTTATGCTATCGTGACATCTGTCATTCATGTGTTAAGTCATATATTTCCCAGACCTTATTAATTTCTAATTTGACTATCAGCACTTGATACATCTTCTTCCAACCTCTCATTAAAATACTGCTGAAGAAATAGAACTAATAGAAAATTTCCAAGCTGCAACTGTCAGACAACGTATTACAGAATGTGTTAAGTTTCTTTCAAGCCCATGGATATGGATTAAGAAACGCTGACATTAACCTGAGAAAGCAAAGCCCATTTAAAAGATGTGTCTTCATTTTGTTTGTCTGCTCTCTGGCAGAAATGGAGTCTGCACCAAATCATTTACCAACTCTCTCTCAATTGCATGGCTTTTTGTGTGTTTCTGTTTGGTGCACAGAGATCTTTCACACCCTCACAAGTAGGATAAGAAGTAGAGTGAATGAGAACAAATATTTGAATACTGCATTTGCTAGTGATGGCAGCTTTATTATAGTGAATGCTAAAGTTGTAGTTTTTATTCTGAATGGCAAAAAAAAAAAAATGCGGGTCATCAGATTCAACTGTGAAACACTTTTTTAAAAGAAACCACAATCATACACCCACATGAGATTCTGATTCAAAACATTTGTGATACAGCCAGGACATCTCCTTTAAAAAAAAATTCACATAGAGCCCTTGATAAAGAGACAAAAAAACAAGCCACATGACAGGAGAAGATGTTCCTGAGTATACCAAAGTCACACAACATGAATGCTTGCTACAATCTTGGAATTACACTGGAAGTTATATATATTAACCTATTCTCAAACAGTAAACCTGAGAAAAGATTCATTAATCACAAAAGCAGAAATTTGGAAAAATCACCCACAGCTGGTTGATGGGTCTGATGGGATCTTGTATCATTAAAAAAAAAGACAGAAAATTACAGAGCTGTGTTTTAAAACATTGCAAAGAAAATAAAGGCACTATCTTGAATATTTATTTCTTTACCAATTATCGAATGTCAAAAATCTGACAGGTAAAATGAAATATGACAGTAAACAAAAACAAAGAATTACACTATCTCATGGAGCGCTTTACAATGGTGTGTTAGTTTCTGTTTTATAACAAAGGGAATCAATTATACATATACATATGTCCCCATATCTCTTCCCTCTTGCGTCTCCCTCCCTCCCACCTTCCTTATCCCATCCCTCTAGGTGGTCACAAAGCACTGAGCTGATCTCCCTGTGCTATGAGGCTGCTTCTCACTAGCTATCTATTTTACGTTTGGTAGTGTATATATGTCCATGCCAATCTCTCACTTTGTCCCAGCTTACCCTTCCCCCTCCCCATATCCTCAAGTCCATTCTTTAGTAGGTCTGTGTCTTTATTCCCATCTTGCCCCTAAGTTCTTCAGGACCTTTTTTTTTTTTTTTTAGATTCCAAATATATGTGTTAGCATACAGCATTTGTTTTCCCCTTTCTGACTTACTTCACTCTGTATGACAGACTCTAGGTCCATCCACCTCACTACAAATAATTCAATTTCGTTTCTTTTTATGGCTGACTAATATTCCATTGTATATATTTGCCACATCTTCTTTATCCATTCATCTGTTGATGGACACTTAGGTTGCTTCCATGTCCTGGCTATTGTAAATAGAGCTGCAATGAACATTGTGGTACATGACTCTTTTTGAATTATGGTTTTCTCAGGCTATATGCCCAGTAGTGGGATTGCTGGGTCGTATGGTAGTTCTATTTTTAGTTTTTTGAGGAACCTCCATACTGTTCTCCATAGTGGCTGTATCAATTTACATTCCCACTAACAGTGCAAGAGGGTTCCCTTTCCTCCACACCCTCTCCAGCATATATACGGGTCTTGTTTTTGTATCCATTCAGCCAGTATATGTCTTTTGGTTGGAACATTTAATCCATTTATATTCAAGGTAATTATCAATATGCATGTTCCTATTCCCAGTTTCTTAATTGTTTTGGCTTTGTTATTGCAGGTCTTTCCCTTCTCTTGTGTTTCCTGCCTAGAGAAGTTCCTTTAGCATTTGTTGTAAAGCTGGTTTGGTAGTGCTGAATTCTCTTATCCTTTGCTTCTCTGTAAAGGTTTCAATTTCTCCATCAAATCTGAATGAGATCCTTGCTGAGTAATCTGGGTTGTAGGATTTTCTCCTTCATCACTTTAAATAAGTCCTGCCACTCCCTTCTGGCTTGCAGAGTGTCTGCTGAAAGATCAGCTGTTAACCTTGTGGGGATTCCTTTGTGTGTTATTTGTTGTTTTTCCCTTGCTGCTTTTAATATTTTGTCTTTGTATTTAATTTTTGGTGGTTTGATTAATATGTGTCTTGGCGTGTTTCTCCTTGGATTTATCCTGTATTGGACTCTCTGTGGTTTCTGGACTTGATTAACCATTTCCTGTCCCATATTAGGGAAGTTTTCAACTATAATCTCTTCAAATATTTTCTCAGTCCCTTTCTTTTTCTCTTCTTATTCTGGAACCCCTATAATTCGAATGTTGGTGCATTTAATGTTGTCCCAGAGGTCTCTGAGACTGTCCTCAGTTCTTTTCATTCTTTCTTCTTTATTCTGCTCTGCAGTAGTTATTTTCACTACTTTATCTTCCAGGTCACTTATCCGTTCTTCTACCTCAGTTATTCTGCTATTGATCCCTTCTAGAGAATTTTAAATTTCATTTATTGTGTTGTTCATCATTGTTTAATTGCTCTTTAGTTCTTCTAGGTCCTTGTTAAATGTTTCTTGCATTTTGACTATTCTATATCCAAGATTTTGGATCATCTTTACTATCATTATTCTGAATTCTTTTTCAGGCAGACTGCCTATTTCCTCTTCATTTGTTAGGTCTGGTGGGTTTTTACCTTGCTCCTTCATCTGCTGTGTGTTTTTCTGTCTTCTCATTTTGCTTAATGTACTGTGTTTGGGGTCTCCTTTTCTCAGGCTGCAGGTTCGTAGTTCCCATTGTTTTTTGTGCCTGTCCCCAGCGGCTAAGGTTTGTTCAGTGGGTTGTGTAGGGGTCCTGGTGGAGGGGAATAGTGCCTGTGTTCTGGTGGATGAGGCTGGATCTTGTCTTTCTGGTGGGCAGGTCCACGTCTGGTAGTGTGTTTTGGGGGTGTCTGTGGACTTATTATGATTTTAGGCAGCCTCTCTGCTAATGGATGGGGTTGTGTTCCTGTCCTGCTAGTTGTTTGGCATAGGGTGTCCAGCACTGTAGCTTGCTGGTCGTTGAGTGAAGCTGGGATGAAGATGGAGATCTCTGGGAGATTTTCGCCGTTTGATATTACATGGAGCCGGGAGGTTTCCTGTGGACCGGTGTCCTAAAGTTGGCTCTCCCACCTCAGAGGCACAGCACTGACTCCTGGCTGCAGCACCAAGAGCCTTTCATCCACACAGCTCAGAATAAAAGGGAGAAAATACGAAAGAAAGAAAGACAGAGAGAGAGAGAGAGAGAAAGAAAGGAAGGAAGGAAGAAAGAAGATAAAATAAAATAAAGCGAAATAAAATAAAATAAAGTTATTAAAATAAAAGATAATTATTAAGAAAAAAAATTTTTAAAGTAACAAAAACAAAAACGGATGGATAGAACCCTAGGACAAATGGTAAAAGCAAAGCTATACTGACAAAATCACACACAGAAGCATACACATACACACTCACAAACAGAGGAAAAGGGAAAAAATATATATATCTTTGCTCCCAAAGCCCACCTCCTCGATTTGGGATCATTCGTTGTCTATTCATGTATTCCACAGAGGCAGGTACATCAAGTTGATTGTGGAGATTTAATCCGCTGCTTCTGAGGCTGCTGGGAGAGATTTCCCTTTCTCTTCTTTGTTCGCACAGCTCCAAGGGGCTCAGCTTTGGATTTGGCCCCGCCTCTGCGTGTAGGTCGCCGGAGGGTGTCTGTTCTTCCCTCAGACAGGACGGGGTTAAAGGAGCCGCTGACTCGGGGGCTCTGGCTCACTCAGGCTGGTGGGAGGGCGGGGTACGGATGCCTGAGGCGGTAGAGGCCGGCGTGACGTTGAAACAGCCTGAGGCGCACCGTGCGTTCTCCCGGGGAAGTTGTCCCTGGATCCCGGGACCCTGGCAGTGGCGGGCTGCACAGCCCCGGAAAGGGGGTGTGGATAGTGACCTGTGGTCGCACACAGGCTTCTTGCTGGCGGCAGCAGCAGCCTTAGCATCTCATGCCCGTCTCTGAGGTCCGCGCTTTTAGCCGCGGCTCGCGCCCGTCTCTGGAGCTCCTTTAAGCAGCGCTCTGAATCCCCTCTCCTCGCGCACCAGGAAACAAAGAGGGAAGAAAAAGTCTCTTGTCTCTTCAGCAGGTCCAGACTTTTCCCTGGACTCCCTCCCGGCTAGCCGTGGTGCACTAACCCCTGCAGGCTGTGTTCACGCCGCCAACCCCAGTCCTCTCCAGGCGCTCCGACCGAAGCCCGAGCCTCAGCTCCCAGCCCCGCCCGCCCCGGCGGGTGAGCAGACAAGCCTCTCGGGCTGGTGAGTGCCGGTTGGCCCTGATTATCTGTGCGGGAATCTCTCCGCTTTGCCCTCCGCACCCCTGTTGCTGTGCTCTCCTCCGCGGCCCCGAAGCTTCCCCCTCCACTACCCACAGTCTCCGCCCGCGAAGGGGCTTCCTAGTGTGTGGAAACCGTTCCTCCTTCATAGCTCCCTCCCACTGGTGCAGGTCCCGTCCCTATCCTTTTGTCTCTGTTTATTCTTTTTTCTTTTGCCCTACCCAGGTACGTGGGGGGGTTTCTTACCTTATGGGAGGTCTGAGGTCTTCTGCCAGCGTTCAGTAGGTGTTCTGTAGGAGTTGTTCCACATGTAGATGTATTTCTGATGTATTTGTGGAGAGGAGGGTGAGCTCAGCGCCTTACTTTTCCGCCATCTTGAAGCTCCTCCCCGTTTGTAGGTTTTTTGATAATGGCCGTTCCGACCGGTGTGAGATGATATTTCATTGTAGTTTTGATTTGCATTTCTCTAATGATTAATGATGTTGAGCATTCTTTCATGTGTTTGTTGGCAATCTGTATATGTTCTTTGGAGAAATGTCTATTTAGGTCTTATGCCGATTTTTGATTTGGGTTGTTTCTTTGGTATTGAGCTGCATGAGCTGCTAGTAAATTTTGGAGATTAATCCTTTGTCAGTTGCTTCATTTGCAAATATTTTCTCCCATCCTGAGTGTTGTCTTTTTTCTTGTGTATGGTTTCCTTTGCTGTGCTAAAGCTTGTAAGTTTCATTATGTCCCATTTGTTTATTTTTGTTTTTATTTCCATTTCTCTAGGAGGTGGGTCAAAAAGGATCTTGCTGTGATTTATGTCATAGAGTGTTCTGCCTATGTTTTCCTCTAAGAGTTTGATAGTGTCTGGCCTTACATTTAGGTCTTTAATCCATTTTGAGTTTATTTTTGTGTATGGTGTTAGGGAGTGTTCTAATTTCATTCTTTTACATGTACCTGTCCAGTTATCCCAGCACCACTTACTGAAGAGGCTTTTCTCCACTGTATATTCTTGCCTCCTTTATCAAAGATAAGGTGACCATATGTGTGTGGGTTTATCTCTGGGCTTTCTATCCTGTTCCATTGATCTATATTTCTGTTTTTGTGCCAATACCATAGTGTCTTGATTACTGTCGCTTTGTAGTATAGTCTGAAGTGAGGGAGCCTGATTCCTCCAGCTCCCTTTTTCTTTCTCACAATTGCTTTGGCTATTCGGGGCCTTTTGTGTTTCCATACAAATTGTGAAATCTTTTGTTCTAGTTCTGTGAAAAATGCCATTGGTAGTTTCATAGGGATTGCATTGAATCTGGAGATTGCTTTGGGTAGTATAGTCATTTTCACAATGTTGATTCTTCCAATCCAAGAACATGGTATATCTCTCCATCTATTTGTATCATCTTTAATTTCTTTC